GTAGATAAGTCTATTCAGTATGTAGTTTGAAATAGCTATGCTTTAATATCAGTTTTTTTCATTACTTATGCTAACATGAAGCTGGAGAAAAACTGTCTATTTTTTGTAGTGCAGTTGACCCTTCAACAACATAGGTTTGAATTGTGCAGGTCCATTTACGTATGAAGTTTTTGAAAAAATATACTGGAAAATAATTTTTTGGAGATTTGCAACAATTTGAGAAATAATTTTCTCTAGCTTCCTTTATTGTAAGAATACAGTATATAATAATATTTATGCATGAAAAATATGTATTAATTGACTGTGTTATTGGTAAGGCCTCTGGTCAACAGACTAGTATTCAAGTTTTTGGGGAGTCAAAGTTATGTAGATTTTTGACTAAATATAGGGTATTACTCTCCCTACCCCCCACACTGTTCAAGGGTCAACTGTGATTCGTTCTTACATTAGATAAGTGAAAGTTTGTTTTAAATTTTATTTTTTTCTGAAGGGTCAGGTCTAATTTAGGATTGTGATTTTGACCTGTGATTCTGTGTGAAGTTAATCATTGGTGAGACTAATTGTATATCATCAATGTAAAGGCTCTTACATAATCTAAATTAATTTAAGTACTATAGTTATATTCTCAAGCACACACAGTTGACCTGTATGTGCTGGGTCAGTGATTATTCCAAGGGCTTTTATGCATAACATATACTGTACTCCATAAAAATGTAGAAGAACTACATCAAAAATCTAGCAAGCCAAAAAGGTCACAGTGTAGTTAAAATGCTTTTTTTAAAAAAAATCTCAGAATTTAGAAAAACCTGGAGTGGGGTGGTAGCACTGTTTTGCAGCTACGTATCAAAGGCCTTCATAGTTCATACCCTTTAACCCAGTAATTGAAGCAGTCATCAGGTGGAAACAAAGTGGAAGAAACCCAGAGAACTTTGTTACATGCACAGGTGTTTGGCACTGTTTGAATAGCAAACTAAATGGGGAAGGACATACTATTCCAGAATAGGAGATATTGTTAACTTGTAGTGTAAACATATGAAAAGATACAGATGAAAATACTTTGTAAGGTTCTACAACACAAGGAATGGAATTTTATATTTAAAGAATACCTAATGATAAGTTTAATACCAAATATACAGAAATGTAATTAACTGTATCATGCAAACAATGAAAATTATTTTACACTAAACACATATAACTTTATGGGCGGGGTAGGGAAGACAGGAAAATGAAAGAAGGAAAGAAATCACTTGGGAAACATTCTAATTTTTCCTACCATAGACAGTTCATATTTCTAATAATCATTTTTGCAACTACATATTTACAGGTAGTACCAAGGGCATTAATGTTAGGTGTTTTGGAGAAACAAAAGTGTCATTAGATCTTTGTATTTTATTGGCCGGTTCAGGAAGGCCCCTCTCCTAAAACACACGTCTACTCACAGCTGAGGAAAAAAACAGGAAACTAGAGCTACGACTTAAAAGTGTCAGTGTTGAATGAAAACTGTTAAAACAGGAAGGTTTGAGGAGAATAAGTTCTAAGTAGTAAGGTATTAGTGGTGACAGTTAATGAAAATGCATATGTATGTAGATTTACAAGATAAATTTTACTAAGAACTTTTTTAATTCCTGCAAATATTATCCAGAGTTTATTATGCATCTAAAATAGAGTTGCATTTTCTTTAAAACAGAGTAAATAATTGGCTTTGATTCTTCGAGTACATATTATTGGAAAGTGAATTGTTAGCATGAACTCTCAGTATAAAACTGGTTTTATAATAGCTCTGTTTTATTTTTATATAGCAGAGTGAGTACTCAAACCTTCTGAATTGTAATTAATGTATTTAAGATGATTTCATCCTGATGGGACCTGGAGAAGTAACTTGAGCATGAAATCTGCATCATGTCAAGAATTCTTACATAGACTTTGACAGAAGTCACTTAAAGTACAGAAGGTGAATTAGAGGCTCCAACACTCATTATGAAATTGAGTATCAGCTTAGTAAGGCTCATTACATTATAAAATGCGGTATATGTTGTAGTATATTTATCCTTACTTTTGATAGCTGCATAGTATACTAATGTATGTGATTTACTTTACAATCATTCTGTGGGAAGTCATTGATATGGCATGATAGTAATTGTTATGTATAGGTGATGTTTATTAAACAGTTGTGTCTGCTTTCTTGTATATTTGAAAATTTTCATAAGCAGAAAAAAGCTAGAATGCTTAAACCAGGCCTATTAGAAAAACTGAAGAAAAATTAAGTAATACTTTGAGTAAGGTATGGGAACAGGATGAACTTGCCACTGAAATATATACAAAGGATATATATTTTTCTAAACCTTTAACTTAGAGTTTAAGACTGAAATAGCAGTTTGAGGTATTCATCACAAATTATATAATTGGAAGGAGTATATGTTTAAATAGCAGAAAGAAAAAAAGAAGGATGCGTATGTCCACTGTCTCATTAGACTGGATAAGTTGTGGCCGTCCATTCGCAAGCCTCAAAAAGTACCACTTTGTGGTGCTGAGCTGGCAGGACAACGCATTCTAAGGTAGTCTGTAGTTAGTGATCACTTGCATCTGGGAACATTTAGTAATTCATAATTTAAGCACTATCCATACCTTTTTATCTTAATTGGTACCTAGTGAGCTTCTCCACATTTTTGTTTTTCACAATTCTTTCTGAAATGCCCTTTACTTTAGTTGGAGCTTTGAACACCTTGATTGATTCTCTTTCTTTGCTTTTGTATTTTGCATGCTTTTCTCCTTTATGCCCTAGAGTATCTTCTCAACTTCAGTTCACTGTTGAACTTTCTCCCCATGCTACCCTATTTTTAAGTTCTGTTTCTCCAGAGTCAGTTTCTCTTGTTTATTCTTAAACTGTTTCTGTGATGTTGAAGGTTTTCTTGACGTGTTTGGTAACCCTTGGTTGATTAGGAGTTCTAAGATTGGCCCTTACTGATTGGCAGGTTTTAGTTGAGGGAAGCCAGCCCTTGGGCTGAAAGCTCTGCCCAGAGAAAGAAGGAAGGCTTATTCTTTCAGCAAGATTCTGCCCTTGTTCTATGTACAGTATATTCAATTTCTTCAGTGAGTAAATCTCAAGTACTTAGTAACTGGATTTTTCTGAAGAACAGTGTGTGGGCGGGTTGGTATATATACTGTTGAACTGCTATGAAAAAGTAATACTATTAAGGATTCCCCAACATAAATTTGAAATATGATTGCTTTTTTCTGTAAAATCATTATAAATCATGGTCAGGTTACCATTTTTAGCCCCACATAGGCAGGTTTCCCCCAGTAACATGGCTAAAATGTTTTGCATCAACAAGGAAACAATACTATAATTTGTTTTCCTTGAAGCCAGATAGAGCACTTAAACAGCTGCACAGCCTGTTGACATGACTCACCGGTTTCTGCCCCCTGTGGCATTAGCTCCATAGAACATTTTTTTTGTTCCTTTCCCAGAAATATACTGGAAGCTAGAATGGGGAACCCATTTTTCTTAGAGGAGGAAAAGTGGTTAAATAGCTAGACACAAAGATAGACAAAAGATAGGCAAAAGATAACAAGCTAAAACACAGCATCAGTAGATAGAGAACTGGTGTTCCATCCAGCATAGTGTTTCTCAAAGTACGTTCTGCAGATCACTTGCTGCATCCTACAGTCTTCATTAAAAGTGCATGCTCCTGTGGCTACAGTCCTACTGAATAAAACATTAAGCACATATAATTCTGCTTAGTAAATTATTTTAGAATATAAGGTTCTTGCTGACAGGAATCACCTCTACTATTTTCTGTCCTTCATTTGACTTGTACATAAATCACCATTTGTTTTTTAACTGTGGACAGTGAAACAATTATATGCATGACTTTTGTCATTTTTAGGTGTCAAGTGGTCTTTGTGGTTGGAAAAATTGAGTATTGGAAGGAGAATTTTAGGAATAATCAACACATGCCTCCTTTATATTATAGAGAAAGTGGGACTTTCATGTGAAGTTTCCAAGTTCATTAAGCATATTTAAACTCTTATACATTGGTAGAAAACACAATTCACACTTAAATATTTTTTAATCCAAATCTTTACACATTGATAAACACCCAAGATGTTAATCTGTATTACAAGATTAACTTGTTTAGGGGCAGACTTTATAGTAGAGGAAATTTTGTTATTAGGAATATTCAGAGGCTGTGACACACAATTTTCATTTGCAGACAGTTCCTGTGTAACTCAGTGTTTTCTTGAATATTATACAATAAACCCAAAATGCAGACATATTAGGTCTAAAATTTTTATGTGTAGTATGATTTAAGTGTTTTATATTCATCAAAACAGCATTCCGGTCAGTAATACCTGTGTTTATAATAAAACATCACTATAAATTTGAACTTAGAAAATTTTTTTTAAAAGATGCAAACTTTTCATGTGAAAAGTGATGACACTACTTTGTAAAATAAATAAAAAATATCACTGTTTTGATTCAGGCACCAAAATTTGCTTTATGAAGGTATTTTAGATGGCATCATATTATATCAGAAAAGAAAAACTATTTAATGAAAATTTGGAGTTTTCTAAATCCCACTGGACCTCTACTGTGCAAAGAGGATTTGTGAATTTTTCAGTGAAAGAAGTTAAAGCCCTTTGAAACTCAGAGTTGATTCTGAATAGTTTTTTTCCCACCCTAGTTTTCATTATGAAGTTTTTGTCATTTTCAATAATTATGCCTTTTGACATCCTGAATAACTGTGATTTATCTTTCTACTTTAAAAAGAGGTCCTTGTTAAAGAGGAGTTTTCACTTAGAAGTTCAGCAGTGATGGAGCTGTGGTTGGGGTGTTCAGAGGAGACCATAAATCTGTGTTTTACTACATCATGTGGTAAAAAAGGATTTGGGGCTTTTTGTGAATCTGGTCCGTGATGTTGAGTAGGACGTCGTAGTGACTTAGGAGTATTAAAATGAGCTAATTTTAAATCCTAATGACTTTTGATGAACTCTTTTAGGGTATCTGAAGTACACCATACAACAGTTTTGAAATCCTGTGTGAACAATGGCTACCCAAGGTTTGTATCATACATTTTTAGTTCCTGAATTGGGGCTCTGCTTCATTGCCATTAACCCAGTCTCGCTCAGATCCCCCTGCTTTACTCTCTCCCTGCTTGTTAGGCTACCTTTTGCTCCATTTCCTCCTCACTCCTCCTAATTGTGAAATAGCAGATAATCCAGTAGCAGGAATCTAGTCTGGATGACTGCTTCTGGGGCCTGGGTGCAGTACCATTCTCCCACTGATTCAGTGAGTAACTGTTAGGTGGTCCCTGAGAGAGTAGAGACTTCATCACTGAACTAATCCTGGCTATCTCATTCTATTATTCTTGGCTATCTTCCAGATTTGACTTTATTTCTGAAAATATTTCAGTGGGTCATATCAGATTTTTTTGTTAATTAAGATAACATTTCGATGGTAGTAATCTAATGCTGTTTATTTTATAGCTGATTTGATGGAGCTGGACCTGGCAATGGAGCCAGACAGAAAAGCGGCTGTCAGTCACTGGCAGCAACAGTCTTATCTGGACTCTGGAATCCATTCTGGTGCCACAACCACAGCCCCTTCTCTGAGTGGCAAAGGCAATCCTGAGGAAGAGGATGTGGATACCACCCAAGTGCTCTACGAGTGGGAACAGGGATTTTCTCAGTCCTTCACTCAAGAACAAGTAGCTGGTAAGAATATTATAACCTAACTGAAAGTCAGAATGCAGGTTTGAGAATTAAGCATTCTTACAAAAGTGAGTAATAGCTTAAATAAAATGGTGTGGTGAAGAAAAGGGAGCGACTGCAATGTCACCTTCATTTAGAATAGCAGATATTCAGGTGAATGCTGAACTATGGGTAGTGAGTGTTGAATTTAACTTTTCCAGATATTGATGGACAGTATGCAATGACTCGTGCTCAGAGGGTCCGAGCTGCTATGTTCCCTGAGACACTAGATGAGGGCATGCAAATCCCATCTACACAGTTTGATGCTGCTCATCCAACTAACGTCCAGCGTTTGGCTGAACCATCTCAGATGCTGAAACATGCTGTTGTCAATTTGATTAATTATCAAGATGATGCAGAACTTGCCACACGTGCAATCCCTGAACTGACAAAACTGCTAAATGATGAGGACCAGGTAAGTAAGGACACAGCCAGCTTTTTAATCTGCCTTGAAGGAAACTCTTACAGAAATAGTCTCAAAATGTCTCCCCATTACCAGTATTTGAAAACTGATGAGGTATCTTAATTCCTGTATATTGTAGGTGGTGGTTAATAAGGCTGCAGTCATGGTCCATCAACTTTCTAAAAAAGAAGCTTCCAGACATGCCATCATGCGTTCTCCTCAGATGGTGTCTGCTATTGTACGCACCATGCAGAATACAAATGATGTGGAAACAGCTCGCTGTACTGCTGGGACCTTGCACAATCTTTCCCATCATCGTGAGGGCTTGCTGGCCATCTTTAAGTCTGGGGGCATTCCTGCCCTTGTGAAGATGCTTGGGTAAGAAAACATGGTCAGAATGCTCGAAGCTAAAAAGGAAGAGTGCAATCACAACATTTCTGATGAGGCTTTTTTCTTCTTCCCAGTTCACCAGTGGATTCTGTATTGTTTTATGCCATTACGACCCTCCACAACCTTTTACTGCATCAAGAAGGAGCTAAAATGGCAGTGCGTTTAGCTGGTGGACTGCAGAAAATGGTTGCCTTGCTCAGTAAAACAAATGTTAAATTCTTGGCTATTACAACAGACTGCCTTCAGATATTAGCTTATGGCAATCAAGAAAGCAAGGTAAAATAATTGTTCTGAGTGTGGTTGTCATGGTGCAGCGGGGACCCCCAGTGTAATGTCCTCCTGTGGACTCTAAAGTTCATTGAATGCCTCACCCACTGTATGTATCATAGGAAAATTGGACATTGCTATTCCGTTAAATATTTGGGTGTATGTAAAGCACTGTGCCAGCTGATGGGGATATAATAACAGGCAAGCTTCTCTCAGAACTTCATTCTGGGGGACAGACACTAGAACAATGACCTATTACTATTTAATTCACATGTTAGGAAGAAGTAGGGACCTATGAGAACACACGTAAGTAAACCAGATGCTATTTGAAGGTTCAGGGAGTACTTGTGGAGGAAGTGATAGTTGAGTTCAGTTCTAAGGATAAGAAGGGATTGACTAAGTGAAGGTCCTGGAGAGAAAATGGTATCTTTGAAAGTCCTACTAAGGGAGGAACTTGGTGAATTTTGGAAATAGGTTGGCAGTACAGCTTTTCTCAGGCATTTGATCAATATTTCACACTAATGATACACACATGTCTTCCTAGCTGATCATTCTGGCTAGTGGTGGACCTCAAGCTTTAGTAAATATAATGAGGACCTACACATATGAGAAACTACTATGGACCACAAGCAGAGTACTGAAGGTGCTTTCTGTCTGCTCTAGTAATAAGCCGGCTATTGTAGAAGCGGGTAAGTATACATGTTTATTTTGAGTTCTGTATATAGCATCTGTGGTTCTAACTAGATTACCTTTCTTAAGAAAAGGGTAGTAGAACTTTACCTTAACAGGCTGAAAGCAGCTGGTCCTATTCAGTCAAGATCACATTCAGACAAAGTTTTGTTCTGCTTGACCATCTCATTGAAGCTATTTAAGCCTAGTTTAGGCTAAGTTCTTAACTACTCCTTGAAGGTGATGGCTAATACTTTGCTTGATGACCTTTTTTTGTGTTTTGTCTAGGGCAAACCCAGGATTTGCTTTGCTCTCAGACCTGTGCATATATAGGTGAAAGTTATAACAAATTCTGTTAAAGTACAGTGTGTGTAGCAGAGTGATTTCTACCTTGATTTATTAGTGAGTGCTCATGAACAGAGTTTTGCACTGGTATTCTGTATTCTTAGCAGATGATGTAATATGAAAAACCATTTTTCTCCTCCCTCTAAATACTGTTAATGAAGCAGGTTATTTGTGGTAGTTCATATAGTGTGCATTTTGGTGGCTGAGGAAAGAAAGAAGATAGCCCACAGCAGGACTTCTTGTTCTCTTGTCCTGAAGGCACAGTCACTCTTCAGCTACCCAGCATCCTTCCTCATTTTCATAACCCACCTAATAACATCTACCTGGACTCTCAAACCAAGTTGCAAATCAAAACTAGAAGAGGAAAAGTACAAAGGTATTTAATAGAAGAAAATAGTGGGAGTAAAGTATAGGGTTGGTAACACCCATTTTCCCACTCACTGAGAGTAATTTTCTTTTAGTGTCTTTGGGGGGGGAAGGAAGGGGATTATGATGAGCCAGGATAGCTGCTGGCAGGGCACCTAGGTGTGGGGACAGGTAAGTGTGGCTGAGTTCATACACAGTGAGGGGATTTACATTCTGCAGCTATTCCAGAAATACCTGGTGTGCTTGTAAAAAATGAAGATTTCTGGACCGACTGAATTAGAATCCCTGGAGTATTGAAGTGACAAGGTTACTTGAAATGAATGGGACTAGAGACCTAGGAATCTCCATTTTAAGAAGTACCCGAGGTTATTCTGATGTTCATTTGTTTATTCTGAAAATTTTAGTACCTGGGTTCCAAGCACTGTAATCATGTGCTATATTACTTGATCCTTAAACAACACAGGGGTTGGGGTGCCAGCCTTCTGCCCATTCAAGATGCATGTATAATTTTTCAATCTGCAAAAACTTCACTACGAATAGCCTACTGTTGACCAGAAACCTTATTAATAACATAAACAGTTGTTTAACACATATTATGTATATGTATTATATACTGTGTTCATACAATAAAGTAAGCTAAAGAAAAGGAAATTATTTTTCAAATTATCACAAATCTCTATGAAATTACCCAATATGTTTATTGAAAAAAGCCCATGTATAAGTGGACCTGTGCAGTTCAGACTGATGTTCAAGGGTTAGTTGTACTTTGGATAACCAAGCATGTACAGTCTGGTGAGTTGACAAAAATATGCAAAAGTGGGTGATTACAAGTTGGAATGAGTGTTATGAGAGAAAGGAACACAAATAGTGACCCAGAATTAATGGGGAGGGGCGGGAAGGGAGGGGCTGGTTTCCTGAGAAGGGGATGTCAGTGGGACCACAGGGTTAGGAGCCACCTGTAGTCTGTGTGAGAATGGGGACTAAATGCCTTCCAGGTAAAGAGAATCACGTGCTGCTCTCCTGAAGGTAGGAAAGAAATGGTAGAGTTCCAAGTTCTGGAGAAAGTCTGTAACTAGAATTTGGTGAACAGTGGGATGAATAGCCCAGGATGAGGCTGATGAGCTACACAGGGCCACATTTTGCAGGACCTTGTACACCCCTGTAAGGTGTTAGTTACACTTACGTTAGTTCCCAGCTTTGGAACCAGAGATGTAGAACACTCAGTTTGGAACGCCAGGTGGTATCCCAATTGTAAAGGGTTTCTTAACCTTGTCCTAAAGAATTTGGCCTTTATCTTACAGATAATGAGCAGTTGTTGAGGGTGGTTAAGCAGTGGCATAGCATCACAATGGAGAATTTGGAATATAAATACCAACATATATATTTGGATGTATAACAATTTGGATGATCAGAGGCAAGCAGACCAGGCTGCTTGTTATTAGAGGCTTCTAGGAATGAAACAGTTTGGCATTAAAAATACACAGTAAAGGATGAACATTTGAAACTTCTGAAAGAATACATAGAAAGTAGTAATGTGGGACTGAAGGTGCAACCAGAGTGGTTTGTGGTGGGGAAAACATTGGTACCATGAAGATAACATGGAACTGTCAGAATGGATTGTCTAATTTTTGGAACAAGATAATTTAAGAAACTGACATTCAAAGTTGAGTAACAGGTCAGTAGGTAGCTGGATATATATGGCAGTAAAACAGGAAGACTGGGCTAGAGATTTGAGAGGGGGGTGTCTCAAGGTCATTTGCATGGGACTTTTACCTTAAGACCTGATGAATCAGAATGTATATGTTTTAAAGTCTCTACGGGCATCTGGGGTTACGATCCACTCTCTTAGACTTAATGGTTACAGGAGAGGGAGGGGAATGAAATCTGAGGGAGAGAAGGTTGAGGGGAATCTAGACACTTAACAAATACTGAACGTCAGCCTTGTGCAGGTCACTCTGTTAGTAGCTAGAGCTGCTATGAGGAAGGAACCAGATAGGCAAGATCTTTGTCTTGTAGGGGAGGTAGACTTAATTAGCACTGATAAAAACTATGAAGGAAAAGTACAGGGATGCATGGGAATTACAGCAAGTAGACCTTCATCTAATTTGAGACAAAGGAGACCTGAAAAGGTGAGCAAGGAAGGGAGGGGAAGCCTCTTTACCGCGTCTGGGAGCGATGTGGTGGGCAGGGGGAGCGTGGAGAGCTTAGGCTGGCTTGGAGGGAGGTGAGCTGCCATTTACACTCTGCCAGTGTAAATGGTAAATGTCCTTTGTTAGGGGCCTAAGTGATGGGCGGTGGTGAATCTTTCGAGCACATATCTTGGAGTCCATGCCTTTTTGGATTTGTCTTACCCCAGGGAGTTTATGTAGCTCCTTCAAGTCTTTGCTGGGTTGTCACCTTCACACCGAGGTGACTTCACTTTACCCTATGTAAAATTATAGTCCTCCTGTCTTGTGTTATTTTTTTTGTGTAGCACTTAACACCACCTGACATACTACATAGTTTTAGCCTATTAATTGCATATTTATTTATGGTCTGTGTCCACCTACACCAAGAGCTCTGGGGGTTTTAGAATATTTTACGCACTGGTATAACTCCAACTCAAAAAATAGTATTTTTTAAATTATTGAATGAATGAAAAGAAGTAATAGTATTACCTACAGAGGAACAGTGGAGATAATGAAGGCTTTTTCCACATAGGGAAGGAACAGTCGATAATTTGATAGAAGTTGTCACTAGTTGAGGTGAATTAGAAAAGAAAGGGGAATTGAGCAGTGCCCTAGAAAATGAAACGAAGGACTTAGATGAAGGGGATAACTTTCGGCAATAAAGAGGGGCTCCCTTCCTCTAAGACTAGAGAAGACAGTGCTGATAGGAATTGCTAGCTATTGACCATTGTCTTAGATCTTCTTTAATATTCTAGGTGGAATGCAAGCTTTGGGACTTCACCTGACAGATCCAAGTCAGCGCCTTGTTCAGAACTGTCTTTGGACTCTTAGGAATCTTTCAGATGCTGCAACTAAACAGGTAAATTCTGAGTAAGCTGGTGCCTCAGTGATAGTGTCAACGTGAATACATACTGAGCATATTTTTATCTCCACAGGAAGGGATGGAAGGTCTTCTTGGGACCCTTGTTCAGCTTCTGGGCTCAGATGATATAAATGTGGTCACTTGTGCAGCTGGAATTCTCTCAAATCTCACTTGTAATAATTACAAGAACAAGATGATGGTGTGCCAAGTGGGTGGCATAGAGGCTCTTGTGCGTACTGTCCTTCGTGCTGGCGATAGAGAGGACATCACCGAGCCTGCCATCTGTGCTCTTCGTCACCTGACCAGCCGACATCAGGAAGCAGAGATGGCCCAGAATGCTGTTCGCCTTCACTATGGACTACCAGTTGTGGTCAAACTACTACACCCACCATCCCATTGGCCTCTGATAAAGGTAAATTGCCAATCAAAATAGAACATGGCAGAATTGAAAATGAACTACCCCTAGCCTTGGATGGTTGTCTAGGCATAAGCGATTGATAAGTAGGCACTGGATTCCTTAGTAATAGGAAGCACTGCTGAGTGGGGTTTGGAAGTGTCTAAAGTCAGTTCTACCTCCAAGTCATGTCAGTGGATTTAGTGTGGTGGAAATCGTAGGCTGAAAGAGTTTGTTGTTGTATGCCAATTCTTTGTTTTTCCTTCCTGTTTACAGGCTACTGTTGGATTGATTCGAAATCTTGCCCTTTGTCCAGCAAATCATGCACCTTTGCGTGAGCAGGGTGCCATTCCACGACTAGTTCAGTTGCTGGTTCGTGCACATCAGGATACCCAGCGCCGCACATCTATGGGTGGAACACAGCAGCAGTTTGTGGTAGGTGAATCTTAATAATGGCACGTGGCTATTTAAAAGAAATGTATAAATCCTTAGGATTGTGAACGTCTCTGGCCATTAACTTCCCTTCATCCTCCTTCCTGCATGAAGAGTTTTTTGCTAATGATTTAAAAAACTGATATGTTTCTGTGGCTATAGAGAGGATAAGGAATAATGTGGTCTCTGGTGATGTTTCCTTTGACATCTCCTTTGCATCAGTCTTATGAAGGGAGTGTGAGGTATGATACCTTATTATAGGGTTGTTTAGGTGCTTCATTTGGTGTTTTCATTTAACCCATACAAAGACGCACCTCAGGAAGGATCAGAGCTGTAATTTGAATCCAAGTCTGTCTGATTTCAGAGCCTCATCCCCACTACAACATGTGTTTTACTTGTAAATATTTAACGCACAGCTTTTACTTTCTCTTCCAGGAATAGTTCAGACTATTTTCATGGACCCAATACTGACAAATTACAAGAATAAGCAGTAGCCAGTAGCATTTCTGGGATCTTTACCCATAATCTCAGCTTAAAGTTCTAATGTCAAGCTTGTGGTGTTTAAAACTAGCTTCATTTAAAGTATATAATAGATGCTTCTGATTCCTCAGAATTTATTTCAAGACTTAAACCCTGAAAAAGTTTTTAATTAGGTTACTTTAGAAAAGATCCTAACACAGATTTGGGGGATCTATTGCTGGTAGTTGTTAGGTGTATGCATGCATTAGGGGGCTTTGGCTTTTTCCATTCATTATGTCTGATACTGGCCTGTCTCCAAGAGGTAGCTTAATAGAATGTAAAAAGTATCTCTTATTTTAAATCTCTAGGAAGAAAGGAGTGTTGTGACCTTATAAAAATCAAGGTGTTTATAAAAGCCACTAAAAAGTATCAGAACTATAACCTTTTTTAAAACTCGGAAACAATGAAAGCAGGTGGTAGTATTTACAATTTGCAACAGGTAACTTCTTTCTCCCACATAGGCTATCAGTTGAATAGTCTTGGAGGAGGTAAGAGGAGTGGATTTTCTGTCAACAGCTCAGCAGTTTGGTGATAAAATTTTGCTATGTTTTCACCAAATACAGAGATGTATGGAAATGGAGCACGTGGAATAAAAACATCTGACAGTCTGCACATTATCTTCCTATCTTTGTGTATCTTTATGTATCTCTTTGATCCAGAATGGTTGGTGCTCTGGCTGTAAGAAAGCCATCTTTGGGATTCACAGGCCTTTTGGAATGTACTTCCCTGTGCACAGTATAGCAGAAGGGTACTGCTTGGAGTTCATGCTTCCCTGAGACTCCCTTTTGGTGACGTTCACCTTGATGAAATCCTTCTTCCTTCCTGATCTAATTGCAGATTATGGGGAACTTTGGGTGTGTAATGTGAATAATGAGTCTAGTATTTGCTACCCAGAACAGAAAGCCTTTCAAGTTTATAAATTTTAGAAGAATGCCCCTATTGTTACCTGTGTTTCTTTTGTTAGGAGGGGGTCCGCATGGAAGAAATAGTTGAAGGTTGTACCGGAGCCCTTCATATCCTAGCTCGGGATGTTCACAACCGAATTGTAATCAGAGGACTAAACACCATTCCATTGTTTGTGCAGGTATGTTGGTTTTAAGTAGGTGTTCCAGATTTTATTTGTCCATAAAATTTCAGGATTTTAATGATAAAATTAAGGAAATTGGGGACCAAAATAGGGGCATCAACATTTAATTTTTCATCTACTATGAATGATGTTTCTGCCCATACCCCCTGCCAAAGTTATGAAATAGAATCTCACTGCATAGTATCCTTTCTGTTGAATACTTAAAATTTTATTTTTAGAATTCATTTTTCTTGGGCAGTAGGAGGAGAAGCATTGGGACTAGAGTTTCAAGAAGTGGGAGTAGACTTTATACTCTGCTTTTAGGAGTGCTCAGTTTCAGAGGAAGGAGAGCTTTGGGCTGCCAGAGCACAGGCCTCCAGCCACCTCTGGGTTTTCTGATTATTAGCTCAAGTAAACCCGTGAAAAAAAGGTTGTAACTAAAAATATTCTAGAAAATAAGTGCTCCGGAGCATTTAAAAACACTCTAGAACATAAATGTAGAGAAAATGATTTAATACAAGTAGTGCGAATGCTGGTTATGCTCTGAATTGGGGATGTTTGCACCACAGTGGGGTGCTTGCCATGTTTTTACTTCAGGTTTAATTAGTTTTTTTTTTCTCCTTAGCTGCTTTATTCTCCCATTGAAAATATTCAAAGAGTAGCTGCAGGGGTCCTCTGTGAACTTGCTCAGGACAAGGAGGCTGCAGAAGCCATTGAAGCTGAGGGAGCCACCGCTCCTCTGACAGAGTTACTTCATTCCAGAAATGAAGGTGTGGGTAAGTAGAAGGGAACCAGAGCCTGTAGCTGGGGTGTACAGTAAAGCCTCAACTTTCCCTCAAGGGTCTTGTTTTCTGTCCTCTCCCAGCAACATATGCAGCTGCTGTTTTGTTCCGAATGTCTGAGGATAAGCCACAGGATTATAAGAAACGGCTTTCAGTTGAGCTGACCAGTTCTCTCTTCAGAACAGAGCCAATGGCTTGGAATGAGGTACACATTGCTTTTATTTTTGGTAGTTTGCTGGAGCAAATAAGGCAGTTTGTGATTTTCCCTTAAAACACTCTGTACACATTGATTTGCAGTGTCTATGTCCTTGGCTTGAATATTCATTCTTTATGCTATCCTAGCACCTGTTGTGAGGAAGAATTACAGCTTTAAACAGCCTGTTCAGAACAACAAAGTATGCCTCTTTACATTAGAATTCGTAAGGAAGATGGATGAAAAAGTGAATCAGGTTGATATTTTTTAAGAGTGTAAGGAAAGAGGCAGTCTGTTGAAACTTAGTTGGAGGTCAGTGTATTGATACTTTAAAAAAAAATGCTCAGTTTTTCATCTACTTTTCTACTTGAATTTCTATAAATTTGTCTTCGGTATTTGCCCTCAGTACAGAGTTGTTCATTGAACTGTTAGAACCACCCTGAAAGTTTATTCAATTGTAGTACAGTCACACAGTGGATTATATATGTTGGGTGAATGGGAAAGAGCACCTATATATTGTTAGGTGGGGAAAAAAAAGCAAATTGCCTAACAGTAATGTGTTAGTTGGGTTTTTAAGAGGCAGTCTTAACATGCTCCAGCTTGAGCTCTGAACTTCCCAGCCACCCCTTTCCCCAGACCTGCTCCTGTCATAGTCTTCTCCATTGCAGTTAATGGCATCTTCATCCAGCTGCTCAGGCTAAAAATCTTCTTCCATATAATATGTCCTTTTTGCCAGCAGCTCCTCTTGGGGGTAGACACTTAGTTTACTGTTTTATCTCCAGCACCCAAAACAGTGCTGGCTCATAATAAGTACTTAATATTACTGAAAGAATAAATTAGTGAATTTTTTAATACTATATACAATGAGAAAACATGTTTTTCTAGGTATCAGTGGTTAATCTTTGAGAGATGGACTTTGAAGTATTTCTGTGAGTTCTTGTTCCTATTGTAATATGTTTTCAGAATATGGGTAGTATACTTTTAAGTTGAGAATTTTCATTTTGCTTCCTTGCCTTATATTTCTTATCTAGACTGCTGATCTTGGACTTGATATTGGTGCCCAAGGAGAACCCCTTGGATATCGCCAAGATGGTATGTGTCTCATATTTCTCCCATTAACTCCAGATGGAGCTGAAGTTCCAAAGCTTTATCAAAAGAGCCATCTGGGAAACCAGTGTTGGCAGGAAAGTAGTGACGCCAATTAAAGGGAGTTCTTAAATGCCGCAGTCAGCAATAGTGCCTTCAGCAGCCACCACCCTGAAACAGGGAATTCTGAGCCACACACTGTGAACAAGCAGCAGGATCACACCAACAAATACATGTCATTACTGCTGGACATGTGCACAGGATGCCACAAGTCGCCCAGCTGTATTTCTGTCAGAGAACCCATGATGCCTGTGTCTGTGCTCCACACAGGGCATAAGAGTGTGGGGGCCTCTATTCCCAAGCTCAGATTTGGGGCAGTATTTACATAGTTGTATCATCAGGATTTTCTGAAAACCTAGTTCACATCTGGGTGATGGAGATGGAGCATGGGGTAGGCCACCAGCAGGCACAGCTATTCCATCTTAAATTTATATCTCCTCTGGTTTTTCCCTCTTTAACTTTACAGATATGTTAATGTCACCCCTTAATGTAAAATACGGAGGTTTTGGAAACGGTGCCTTGAGTTTTCTCAGTACTTTCATGGGTATCACCTGGACTTTTTGACAGATAGATTATATCTGCCGGGACGCATTATTATTGTTTCCATCTCCTGTCCATGACTTCCAGATGCCTGGGTGGTCATGCGCATAGCAGATTGCTGCTGCTCCTTCTAGGAGCCTTGTCTCTACCTGGGTCAATGTAAAATGTTTGGTGGTAAACTGATGGCTTAATTAGAATCTGCTAGTCTGCCTTTGGTAGAAACAGACTGTGTAGCCTCATGGGTGGCCTGGCTCTGAGTAATTAATTATCTGGCTGAAGAAAGCTATGAGTTGAAGAGGCTAGGAAGGACTGCTTTCTGACAAGATGGATGCCCCTAACTTCAGTGTTTTTTTTCTTCCTTCTCCCTCTCTTTTGCTTGCCCATTCGGCTGTCACCCCATCCTTGATATTCTAGATCCCAGCTATCGTTCTTTTCACTCTGGTGGATATGGCCAGGATGCGCTGGGGATGGACCCCATGATGGAGCATGAGATGGGTGGCCACCACCCTGGTGCTGACTATCCAGTTGATGGGCTGCCCGATCTGGGACATGCCCAGGACCTCATGGATGGGCTGCCTCCAGGTGACAGCAATCAGCTGGCCTGGTTTGATACTGACCTGTAAATCATCCTTTAGGTAAGAAGTTAAAAAAGCCAGTTTGGGTAAAATACTTTTACTCTGCCTACAGAACTTCAGAAAGACTTGGTTGGTAGGGTGGGAGTGGTTTAGGCCTCTTTGTAAATCTGCCATAAAAACAGATACATACTTTGAAAGGCGATGTCTTGGAACATTTGAATGTTCTCAGATTTTTGGCTGTTAAGTGATCATGTGTGGAAGTTATTAACTTTAATGTTTTTTGCCACAGCTTTTGCAACTTAATACTCAAAATGAATAACATTTGCTGTTTTAAACATTAATAGCAGCTTTTCTCTCTTTATACAGCTGTGTTGTCTGAACTTGCATTGTGATTGGCCTGTAGAGTTGCTGAGAGGGCTCGAGGGGGGGGCTGGTATCTCAGAAAGTGCCTGACACACTAACCAAGCTGAGTTTCCTATGGGAACAATTGAAGTAAACTTTTTGTTCTGGTCCTTTTTGGTCGAGGAGTAACAATACAAATGGATTTTGGGAGTGACTCAAGAAGTGAAGAATGCACAAGAGTGGATCACAAGATATGGAATTTATCAAACTCTAGCCTTGCTTGTTAAATTTTTTTTTAATATCTGTAATGGTACTGACTTTGCTTGCTTTGAAGTAGCTCTTTAATTTTTTTTGCAATAACTGTTAGTTTTTTAAGTCTCTAGTGTTAAGTTATAGTGAATACTGCTACAGCAATTTCTAATTTTTAAGAATTGAGTAATGGTGTAGAACACTAATTCATAATCACTCTTAATTGTAATCTGAATAAAGTGTAACATTGTGTAGCCTTTTTGTATAAAATAGACAAATAGAAATGGTCCATTTAGTTTCCTTTTTAATATGCTTAAAATAAGCAGGTGGATCTTTCATGTTTTTGATCAAAAACTTTATTTGGGATATGTATGGTAGGGTAAATCAGTAAGAGGTGTTATTTGGAACCTTGTTTTGGACAGTTTACCATTTGCCTTTATCCCAAAGTTGTTGTAACCTGCTGTGATATGATGCTTCAAGAGAAAATGCGGTTATAAAAAGGGTTCAGAATTAAACTTTTAATTCATTCAATTGTGTCACTCTTTTTCCTTGTCATTAAATGGTCTGTGAGCATACTGAATTTATTCAACTCAATTTTATCTTGAAGAAAACATATAATGAAGTAAGAACACCTTACCTCTAGATGGGATGGGATTGCCAAGTTTCTTATAACACTTGGCCCTGGGTTAAATTGCACGAAAGGTGTTTTAGCTTTGACCATTTGTGATTAACTGAGCATGTGTAGAGGAGAGATTCCACTGTGTCCAGCTGAAAGACTCTGGGCTTAGAGCCTGTGTCTGCAACTCTTTCTAACCTGGCTGCTTGTAGTCACATATATCATCTTGCCAAATGACCAAGGGCCCCCACATTTCAAAGGCATCTGGTCTAGGGGCTACATAGAGCAAAACTGAAAGCCAGATTTAGGTATTCTCCGTGCCAGATGCCACCAGATGGCTTCATTCCACTGAGGTAATTAATGAAGTAACTGGATTTGGACTTCGAGCACCTTTCACTTGAGAGGGGAATTCCTTCAGCTTCACTTTGAGCTGGTAATTAAGATAGTTTTAAGTGTAGCTATTTATCTCAACATAATCAGAACCAGAAGGGGCTCCCTTCCATTCTACCTGCCGGCTAATCCTGTCAGCCTCGTGGAAGGCCTGACAGGTTTAGCACATCTGGAGGACAGAGTCAGTAGGCCTGTTAAGACTTGTGTTTCGATCTTTTAAAGAGGTACTTAGAGCTGCTGGTTTAATTGTGACTATTCGATCAATACATATCTAGTCCCTTTTTGTTGAGGTTTTGTGACAGCCTCAGATTCTCCACTGTGGTCAAAAAATGTAATTGTGATTGGAGAGGAACCATCTGTGTACCTGGTGGTGTGGTAGTAGGTCTCAGGTTCTGCTCCCAGTGTGTGACAAGCCCAGACCAAGCCATTGCTGCAAGAACGCAAAGTGAAGAGCCACAGCAGGGAGTCTCACACAGAGAACCGTTTAAAACCAGGAAACACTTTAAGAGCTTTGCTTAAAATCGTAGATTTGAAGTTCCATTTAAAAAATTTTATCAAATTCAGCAGGATGGTCCTGCAGTGTACTTAGAAGAGTCAAGATTAGCCAACACCAAGAGAGGAAGAGTGGCTTTACGGGGCATCAAGGCCTACTGCTAAAGCTGAGAGGTAGTTAACACTGTTGGCAGAGAGAGAGGAGGAGAGGTTAAGGGAAAAGAATGGGATGCAGGCAGGGACACTATTCTAGAGGCAACAGGAAGTCGGTGTGAAAAAGGGACTTTTTAGAAAGATATGGAACAATTGGGTAGCTCTTTGAATAAAATTGAAAAAAATGCAGAAGAAAACCCATGACCAAAAAATCCAACATTTTAAATATAAAGTATGGTTGATGGTAATGCTTTTTCTTCTGCCTCAAACTTCAGCACGGCTTGATAGGACACTGACAATCTACTCTGGAAGCCCATGCATCCAATAAATATGGTGTAGAACTTGATTGATCCAAAAAAGGGCAAACTATTTTAAGGAAATCACCCTTGGATGGGAAAACAATCATCCTTGGATGGCAAGGAAGTGATTACTACAAAAACCAAGAGTGTCAGTTATGTAGGGAAGGCGGTGCACAGAGCACGTGATCAATGAAGCTTTTCCATGTTCCAGCAGATGTTACAGACCTGGTTATTTGAATCCTTGACAGTGAAAGGTCTTGAGATAAATAATGCTCTTTAGTTCTTGTTTTGATGACTGTAATAAAAACAACATCTGAATCATGCTGTTTGGTTCACAAAGCGAAGAGAGCCCAGTCAAGGACTGCAGCTGTGGTGATGAAGGCAAGAACCTAACAGTCTAACTGCTTTCCTTGCTTTGTGTGACTCACCCACCAAGTGTCGCTACAAAATGATGGGGGGGGTGAGGGTGAGGCTAAAAAGTGCTTCCTTTTGCTTACCCTGTAAAGCATTCCCCATGCCATTCCCCACCCCATGAGTAAGCTAGGAGGAGGTGACAGATGGCCTCTACCACCTCTATGCAAGCCTCTAATAGAGGCCAGAAGTGGAATTTAAAAGGGAGTCTTCCCTCCAGGTCACATCGGGGCTACATACCTCCCTGGTTGTGGTTCCAGGCCATGGCTTCGTGCTGTCTGTTCTACACTTCCCTCCTCTCAGCCCACCAGAGCTTGAGGCTGTGCTTTCCCTAGGAGCCAAGTCCCTTTCTTAGGGCTTTTGTAGCTTTCTCCCTGCTTCCCTGCCAGTTTGTTCCTGAGGCTCGTACCTCAACCGCTGTGTATATCCATGTATCAGAGATTTGTTTCTACACGTTTTTCTGTTGCTAGGAGGGGAAGCTATCCTGCTTCAAGTGGAGGAGAGAGCCAGTCCCTCTCCTGTCACTCACCTCAGCCACCAGAGCCCCTGCTTTCTGATGTAGGTCCATGGATAAAGCCCGCCCAGCAGTCAGAGCTGACCTGAGAACCCCATGGGGTAACAGAAAACCTCGTGGCAGTATTGGGAACATGAAGAGTTCAAGGGCAGAGAACTGTATGAGGAGTCCCCTGGGGCATCCCCAGACCGCTGCCCCAGCTACCCCAGGTGATTGTCATTTCTTAGGACACGTCAGGACCTCTGGCCAGAGTCACTCCAAATGGCTCTTCGCAGAGGGACAGCTCACTGAGCACCTGTTTCAAGCTGTAAGCTAGGGTGAGACTGTGAAGTTCGGGGCCTGCTGTCAGGAGGAAAGGAAGCCCCATGCAGCCACTCACCTGGCCTTCCCTGCTCCTTAATGGTTCTGCTGTCTCCTTTGCCTCCTACCTCTGCAACTCTGGGGACCCCATTCACCCTTGAGAGACTCATCCAATGGGCTGTAGCCAATCATGAGAGCAAAAGGCTGAAGCTTAGAGGTGGTGGGAAGGGGAGGACTGGGAGGTGCCGGGGTGTGACCCTTGCCCCTGTCAGCATCCGGAGAACTCTGACCGGGGGCCAGGAGCCAGCTCTTCTCAGAATTGGAGCCAGCCTTGGAAACCAGAGAAGTGGGTATGGGCCTTAAATGGGGAGGGTTAACTTTGATCCCTACCTCTGAGCTCACTGGAACTGGGGCTGCGGCTCGCCATTTGGCACCTTCATGAGAGACAGGACCATCTCCCAACTCAGAGGACTTAGCCTCATGCCATGGTCCAGCTTCAGGAGCCCAGTGTCCTGGGCTGACGGCCTTGGCAGGGCAGCAGTTCCACTTGGGACTGTCATCCAGGCCCAGAACTCCAGGGCAGTCTACCAAGAACTGAAAAGAACAGATTTTCTGGAATAACAGACCTGTGCCTGTCCCTGGACCCAGCAGGCAAAGCAGGTGGAGCCCAGGCCAGGCCTTCAGCTCCTCTCCGACCCCAGAAGCACAGGCAAATTCAGCCAGGCCAAGGCCGTGTGGGCGCATAGCCTGGTGATGGGCATGCTGCCCACGGGACTTAACCATGGAGCTGCCTCTCCACAGGCAGTAAAAAGGCTTTTGAGACCCCATGTGCAACTGCCAGCTGCTGGGTGGAACACTCTCTTCTACCCCAACTACAAGCTCTGGATACTGCACTGGGGGACAACCGGCTACGGAGTCGAAGCCCAAGTGAAACTGAATGTGGGTGGGGCTCTGGGCAAGTGGGCTGGCTGCTCTGAGCGTCAGTTTTCTCACCTATATAAATGAAGTTAGGAAGGCTTGCTTTGTGGGCTTTGGTAAGGATTAAGTTAACTGACGCATGCCTCTGATGGAGGTGGGCACAGGGCTGCTGTTCACATTATTAAGCCGAAGGGAATGGCAAACTACCCAGATCACTATGCTGTGACAAAGTAGAGCTGTCAGTGATGGCATGGCCAGCATCCCATGGTGCAGATGGAGCTGTGTACCCACACAGTTGTCACTTGTGCATGTGTCACCCACTCCCTCTAGGGAGCACAGCACTGAAGCTGAGAGAGAGCAACTGTAGATGTAGTCTAGCCCTTGCGTTTTGCAGATGGGGAAACTGAGGCTCCAGAGAGGTCAAGGAATGGCCTTGCATTTCTCACTGGTTCGAGCTGCCCAGGACCATTCCCACCAGTCTAGATTCAAGAGAGAGCCTTTCTCAGTATGAGTCCCAGTGCTCTTCTGCACTGTATAAATACTCTCATGGGCTCGACTTATATGGGAGGTTCTAAGAGCACATGCCTGAGGGAACATAGCAAGAAACTGGAAAGGTTTCAAGGGTAAGGAGTAGAAGTTGGGGGGAATGATCCCACCTTGATGCCATCATCCCATCTGGATGGGCTGACCTTCAGGGAAGCCAGCGTTTCTTGAGTTTTGTGCTGCCTTGGGCAAACTTGTAACCTGTTCCTGTTAATGGGGAGCCCAGCCCTCCCCAGTGTTCTTGGAATGAAGAGTCAGGCAGGTAAGAGTGGGAGGAAGACAAAAGACTAAAATTAGCTTCCAAAGCCTTGCTCTAGAGCTGTGGCTGGGAGAGCTTTCACGCCTAGTCCTGCCTTTTAAATTTTCTTTGGAAAGGAGAGATGCTTTCAGACAGCACAGGCACAGGACTGGCTTCTCTCCCAGTGGATTAGCACAGGCAGTGCAGGCCTAAGGAGGCCCACCTCACCCACCTGGAGGGAAGGAACACTCAACAGCTAGCAAATCTGAGCTTCCCAGAGACATCCCTCAGGGACCAAGGCGTCCACTCGAGTGGCTTTTCCCTGGCCCAGCTTTACTGAGAGCACCCCACCCAATAGGTCCCGGGTTCAGCCGACTTTATTAGGTCCATACAGAGCTCCAGGTGATGATGCGGTGAACGTGTGAGGGCTGGTGCTGCAGAGCGGGCTATGCGAAGTGTCTTCTTGCCTAGTGGCCAACAGCCTTAAGGATTTCCAGGGCCAAGGAAGCCACTGCACTGTCAGCTGAAGAACTGAGAGAAAAGCCAAAGTACAAGCACCTTAGACATTTCTGGGTTAAACACTGCCTCTTCCAAAGGGGACTGGCCTCTTTTGCACCCAGGTATCTGATGGACCAGCTGCTCCCTGGAGCTGTCCCTGTACACTATGTTCTTGAGAAGCAGAACAGGATTCCTAGTCTCCTGGGCAAAGAGGTGGGAACCCCACAACCTAAGAGGTGGGCAGGATTAGCCATGCTGGCACCCTGGTCTGGGCCTGAGCTCCCGGCCCCGCCGTCAACATCTGCACCACCTTGGCCAGGTGCACTGACACAGCTGTAAGGGCAAGTTGGACAGGCAGTGATCAGACTGCTGGGCTTGGCACCTGCCGTGGGCCTGTGCCGCGCCCACCTGTAGCAGACTGGGGGGTGGTAGAGATCCAGGCCACTCCAAACGCTGGGCAACCCTGCCCCATATTGCCCCTTCCTGGCCAATCAGCCAGGAGCTCTGGGTTTTTTATTCTCAGGTGTGGATGTGCAATTAAGAGCTTAAAATGGAAACTGTTGGGGGAGCAAACTGAAACACACTTAAACCTGTGCCTTAACAAATGCTAGCAAGGAAAAGAATGACACAGCAGTGTGCCTTCAAGTATAAAATCAGCTTGTGGCATGCTCTTGACTACACAGAAATAGAGCTGTTGCCAAATAACCAGGGGTTGGGGTGCTGCATAAAAGGAGTGGGTCGCAGTGGAGCAGGGCCGCAGCCGGGAGACAGTGCCATGCATTCCTGCTCTGTGCATCAAAGGTCCTGAGGGACAGCAGGAATGCCTTTGAACTCGGCCTGGCCTTGGCTGAGTCCAGGCTACTCTGTGGGGTCATGTTGCCCACCAGCAGCCCAGGGGGCCCAGTGACTGGTGGGGAAGGCTCACCAACCTCTGAAAACAGTGTCATCAGAACAGAGAGCTCTGCCACCCACTCACGCTGTTTGGGCCACCCGAACAAAACCCAAACAAAACAACTTCATAGCAGCGGCCTCTCCAATCCAATGCAAGACCTGTCCACAACGCAAGAGGCTTTAGTTGCTAGAGTTTAGCTTAGAGGTTTTAGTGGGGGTACTTAGTGGGGGCACAGGAGGAAGCTACCAGCTGCATCAAGCACTGAGTGGTTTTGATACATTGGTCCACATTTGGGTCCAGTTTCCCAAATGGATGCCACATGAGGATGTGCAAGGGAGGCCCTGCTAGGTGAGGAGCCCCACCTCACCTGGCACCAGACAGGAAGGCTCCCAGGGGCCTGACCTCCACTGGCCGCACTAACCTCCACTCCTCCTGCCCCTGCCACCATGCCTCCTCACCACAAACCTGCTCCACGTGGCTCCATCATGGCTGGCTGCCCAAAGTCCGGGGCCCCGGGGAGGGATGTCACATGCTCCTCACAAACCAGTCCAGCAGAAGGCCTGTGGCCTGGCTCAGTCACTGTCCATGACTGACATCACGGGCCCAGACGGTGAGAAGGGGCCTTTCCCGTCACCTCACAGAAACCATGGATAAGAACCTAATTCTTTGGTTTACGCTAAAAAGGAAAGGTGCTGAGTTGTCAAAAGACTGGTATCCCCTCCCCTACTCAATCCAGGATTAAATGCAGAAAAGGTTGGCCGAAGACTCAGCTTCTCAGCAATGCCAAAACCATGTATTTATCTTCAAATTAGCATCAAACCTCAAACATCAGGAAGCAGACTTCATAGAATCCTGTGGTTCTAAAAACCTCAGGAAATGGCAGGCATCATTCCATGTCTTGTACCCCTTAAGAGGTGGGTCCTACTCCCGTGGGGGCTCAGGGGACTGTGGTCACCCCCTTAGCTCTGGGGACAGAGGCCTAAGGGAGGAAGGGTGACTGCATCAGATTTAGTGGTCCGGCCTCCTGAGCCCTGGCCGCACCCAAGGCCCCAGCGCTGTCATGCACAAAACGCCACTCTGCAGCTCCTGCTAACTGGGAGGGCCACCTGGGCAACCTTCTCTTCATTCTCCTATGATTTTTCTTTGATCACCTGGCACTAACATTTTTAAGAAAAGGGTAACAACATGAAAGCCTTACCCTGTCCCCTACCTGCCTCCACCTCTCAAGTGCAGTGGGTACAGGGTGTGTGGGTCACTGGGGGATGAACCTTCCCCATGGCCCTCCACTGAGCACCAGCATCACTGCAGGGCTGGGCGAGATCTGGCTCCTCCCAGGTGACAGGGCTGCCTGGTCTTGGACCTCACTTGCAGTATGTCCTAGACATACTGAGTGTCGAGCTGAAGATGGGAAGGCAAACCTAACCTCACACTGCATGCTTCTGGGCATCAAATAGTCTGTTCTGGAGTGTCTGTTTTCCCTTGAAGACCTGGCCAAGGAGGGCAGCCTGGTGCTGTAGAACAGGCTGCACTTCCATCCGGACCAGCCTTGTCCGGGCCTTCTCTACAAGGTGGTGATAACAGTGCCTCTGGCCTGGGCTGCGGATGGGGCATGTGTGCACGGGCTTGCTACTGCCTTTCTCATGAGGTTTATCCCGTCTCCCACCTGGTCGTAATCTACTCCTTCCCCATCTCTATTCCCTGTGGTGGGGAATACTGCCTTCCCCAGCAGGGCCAAGACATTCCACTCCCCTCCCCCCTGCTGACTTCCCCTCACCTGCACAGTGGGGATTCCTAGTCAGGGGAGGGCAAAGTGCCCTTCCCATAGGCAACGACAGGCTGGAAGGTGGTGGTCCCTAGTATTCAGGGGATGAAGGTGGGGGACAAAGGAGTGGGAGGGAGGGAGTACTGAGCCCAAGATGGTCCCGCGCTGCTCCCCTGGGCCTACTTACCTGCCAGATGAGCCCAGCCACTCCAGAGCCCGCAGGAGGCTACCCGCATCCTTGAGGTCCACCAGGCGCTTCTCACTGGAGGTGACCTGCAAGGCAGGGAGAGCGTGGTCGGCTGGCCCTTCCCTGACCCGTGCACCCTGAGTCTCAGGCTACCTGTGGCACTAAGAGGTGAGCCCTCAGCCCTAGCCCCCAGGGCACTGATCCTCATGGGGACAGAGGCAGACAGTGGTGACCCTTGGGTAAGCACAAGGGAGTCCACTGGGCTGAAGATATGCTGAGTCCTGGGGGCTGCTTCCCTTGGGTTCCTCAGGAGGGTTTGTGTTCCAGAAGCCTGAACCTTCCAGTTAAAGCAAATTCAAGTGAATGAGCTTTCCAGGTATCAGTGCTGGGTCCCAGCTGGCCTTTTGGTCCTTGGGGCCTTGGGCTAACACAGCCTCTTTGATGTGCACAGAAGGGTCATGACTCTGGGTAACTGATGACCTGGGGCACCTGAAAGAAGAAGCACTGACAACCAAACCGGGGCACTGCCCCACCCCCTTCCCAAGTGGCTCAGGAGCTGTGTCCTTGCTAATAGCCATAGTCCTGGTAAAAACAGGAAGAACACTTGGGTGTCGCTGACTGCAGTATCTATCTATGTGTGGGACCATAACCTCTCAGGGATGAAAAAGACTCAGACGCATGTTAACCCAGCCCAGGCTCCCAGAGACCCCCTGATTCAGCTCCCCCATAGAACAAGTCCAGGCGAGGCAAGAGAAGGCTTTAGGAATGGACCTTGATCCTGGAGACTTACTCTTAATTCACCACTTGTGTCCTACTTTTGTCTTTCTTATTTTTAAAATATTTTATGATGAACACTTGTATGGCATTTTTCTTTCCAGAAGGCTCTGCAGTTTCTTGTATGTTTTCCCACCTAGTCTTTGTATTTATTCCTCTTGCCAGGTGAGCATGCTGTGTGTTTGTTTTATAGATGAAGTAATGGAGGCTTACTGTGATTAAGGGACTGGTAGAGGGGTGTACATGGAGCTGGACCCTGATTCCACCATGAAGCTGGAACCAGACTGGCCTCTGTTGACTCCCCCATTGCTCAAGGGTTCTGTCTTTTCACTTGCTCATAGCTGACAGGGCAGGATCACCATCTAGTTCTCAAGAAGACAGTGAGCATTTCTTAATCAAGCATTCATGTTGATGGGAAAGCCACAGGGGTAAATCAGACCTCAACATGGACTCTACATTTCATGTGAATGAATCTACACCTCCACTGAGATATTACCTACTTCCTGAGTATGCCAGCAACCAGCTGCCAGCTCAACTGCATCAGCTGTGATTTCTGCAAGGACTTGAATCTTACAAGACATGCATGAAAATCTGCTCTGAAATGACACCCATCTTGAGTTCCAAAGGTTGCTATTTGAAAATGTCAGCTGTAGTCCAGTTACATCTTAAGTAAGCACAACTTTATACTGAAGGCCCTACTGTGAGGATTCCCATTGGATTTTTCTCCAAACTGCCTCATACAGCTCATTTGAGCTACATGCAGACTCACTGCCTCAGCCAGACCTACTGTGGGATTGTGTGTCGAGGCTGTGCTCCAAAGAAATCACCCCACAAGTTGCAAAGAAATAACAGGACTACATTCACTCACAAGGCTAGTTAGAAGGTGCAAATAGAAAAAAATATAGTGAGAACTATGTGATCAAAGAAAAAACCCAAACTAGCATCATGTACAGATGACAAAAATATAGGCATAAACAAAGCCAAAAGAACTGATTGAAAACTATGCAATTTAGCTACTTAACAGCACTCTTCAATAATGTCAACCGCTGCCTCTTTTGTAAAGATGAGTTACCTAGAAAACAAAATTTTTAAATTATATCAATCAGAGGCTCTAGTTCTGGGTAAGACAGAAAACACACGCCATCCTTTCTCTCTCTTCCAATGCAACTATACAACCTAAACAGAATATATGGCACAGCTTTTTAAGAACGCTGGAAAGTAAACAGCAACAGGCAGCTTGGGGAAGGATGCTGAATTCAAACACTGCTGAAATGCTGGTAAATTCACCACTTCTTTCCTTCCAGTACAGCCCAGTTTGAACTTAATGAATTCAAATCCCCATAAGTGAGCATTGTGGAGCAAAAGAGATAGCTCCAGAAGAAACCAGGCTTGAGGAATGGAAAAGGAAACTCCCAAAGTTCAGAGACAGGAGATGAAACACTCAGGTTTTCTCCTCTCCTTTTCCTGAGGTCCCTGGCAATCCTGTGAGACTGGAAAGTGAAAAATCTTGTGGTGGCAGGGTTGGCAGGGGCAGCGGGAGCCTGCAGCCCCAACTCTTTTCTCTCTGTGTGTGTCCTCCCTATGTTTGGCCCAGACATGACAATTGTGGAAGTGAAAAGTATATGGCCAGACAGAAAATGGGAGACCCAGGGAATCAGAAAGTATTGGGGAAATAATGAATTGGGAAGAGCTCAAGAAAGCAATCTATAAAATTTTTATGAACTCCTAAGCTCACCCTCAGCATGTGTATGTGTGGAATTGATCCAAATGGAATATCTAAAACTTGGAGAACTAACAAACCTCTGCACAGATTCCAGACCAAACTTGCCTAAAGGACAGACATGTAAGACAGAACTAAACAGCACAGCAAATGCTTTGAAACTGACCTGACATTGAAATTAGAATGCCAACCTGCAACCTGAACCTAACCAATATCACTGCTTGCTAAAAAAAAGAGTATTAACATTCTCTGCAGGGTTCCAACAAGACAGTGTCTCATAATGTAATATTTAAAATAGGATAAAATCTAAAACTGCTCAGCATACAAACAACCACAAAATCTGAATTCACATAAGAAAAGAATCAACGGAAGACAATAGATAATAAGATGACACAGCTATTGAAATTATCTGACAAAAGCTTTATAAAGTGTTACAAAAATGCTAAAACAATCACACTCTTGAGATGAGTATTAAAATAGAATGTAACACTTTTGAAAAAAAGTATCAGAAAGTATTAAAATAGAATGCAATGTACACAAAAAAAGACATAAAGGAGAACCAAATGGAAATTTTAGAACTAAAGATATAGCCAAAAATTCTAAAAACCACACTGAAATGGACTCATTAGTAAAATGGGATGAGACAATGAACTTTAAGATAGAGCAACAGAATTTATCTAATCTGAGCAACAGAGAGAGAAAAAGGTTGAAAACACAAATGGATAGAGCCTCAGAGACCTGTGGGATAATAACAAAATTTTTGTGTCACTGGAGTTCCAGAATGAGAGGATAGAGTATGAATTGATGATAAGGTGTTTAAAGAAACCATAGCAAAACTATTCCAAGTGTGATGAAAGACATAAACTTACAGATTCAAGAAGCTGGGAAAATCTTACATAAGATAAAACTGAAGGTTATTTATACACAGAGACATCACAAATTTGCCGAAGACAAAGAATATTGAAAGCAGGCCCCCCAAAATGATACATTACTTACAGGGGAGCAAAGATTTGAATTACTGTGGGTTTCTCAACACACGGAGGACAGAAGAGTGTGACACAAAGTTTTAAAGTGCTGAAAGAAAAGAAGCATCAACCTAGAATTCTGTGTCTAGCAAAAATATTATTCAGAAATTAAGGTGAAATAAGGACATTAAAGGTAACAGAAGAAGAACAGCTTTAAAAGAATTATTAAAGGAAGTTCTTCAGAGAGAAAGGAAATAATACCAGAAGGAAAGTTGGAACATTAATAATTAATGAGCAACAGGAATGGTAAATATCTAGGTAAACATAAAAAAATATTCCTTTTCTTTAAAATATGTTTGATGGTAGAAAAGTAAAACATAATACTATCTAATAGGGCTTTCAATGTGTGTAGATGTGATACATGAGAAAGCTGGAACATAAAGGGGGAAGGGGAGAGGAATCTATAAAGTGGTAAGGTTTCTATATTGCAGTTGAAGTGGTAAAATATTGATACGTCAACTGTGAAAAGTAAATAATTTATAATCCCAACAGAAACCACAAAAGAACTTCATACGAAGAGAGTAAAAAATGTGATATGAGGTTGTCCAAGACAGTTTTGTAGAAAGAGCCTGAACTAACCTCTTCCCATGGACACACCTAATCTACATCTTCATATTGAGCAATTCCCCTAAAAAAGAAAGAGGGCTGACTGAACAGCTTCTGCACAACAAAGGATAGAGGGACTACACAGAGAAGGGAAGGCAAGAAGGAGACATGACATGGTGGCCAGAACCCAACTGCCGATGCTGCAATCTTCATTGGGGAGGGATACCACTGAGGGGCCCATATGCAGAAGTGCCCACTCTAGGCACAGCAAAAATATAGTGATTTAGAGCCACTAGATTATAAATGAAAGAAATCCACTTACTATCCCTAGAGTGTCTGTCCACTGATAAGGGGACTACAGGCACACTCGGGTTGGAGGCACCAGCCAGCACCATTGTTTATGTATCCCTCTACCTGGATAGCAGAGTTGTGAGCAGGGCTCAGGCATACAAGCTGACCTGCTAGGGCTGCACAGTGAGTCCTGGGCCCCTAGCCCACACTTGCTCCAGCTGTCTCCCTAAGGTGGCCCCCACCCATGCCTGGCCCAGCTTTAGCCATCCCACCAAGTCAGTGCTGGTGCAGTGCACAATGGACACCCTGGCCTGTGTCCACACCAGCTCAGGCCACCTCATCATGAAGCACCCCAGACATGCCTGCTCCAGCTCCAGCTCCTGCCAGGAGGGATCCAGTGTGGAGTACTCTGGGACTCACTAAACCACACTGGATCCAGTTCTCACTGTCCTTCCAGGATGCCCCTGGCATGGAGCAGCTGAGTCAGTGCCCACATTGGCTCTGGCCATCCCATCAGGTAGCCCCAGGGCAGTGCCCCAAGACCCCCTGGCCTGTGCCTACTCCAGCTCCAGCAGGACATTCAAGGCCTCAGGAATATGTAATCTACACAAGGATGTTCCTGTACAAGGCAGGAGAGGTGGTGGTTCCACATAATTCACAGAAATAAACACAGGAAAAAAAAAGAATGCTCGAAAAGAAAGAACAAGACACCTGAAAAGAATTAAATGAG